CCACCGTTGGAGGTGTTCGGGTCAATTCGAGGTCGTAGGGACATAGTGATCACCAGAGCAATGGGAAGACACCTTAGAAGCTACCCTCATGCCAGGTTCCCGGCTCATGAGGACTTACTAAGACATCCTCTACTCGACGATCACCTTTCGAGGCAACAGTGAGGCGTACCCTAGGGGTGGTGCGTGCGATTCGTGTGTCGTTTTCATTGATATTTGTCTTGTCATGTTAAAGTGTTCTACGCTTGATTTTATTTAAGGCCATACATTCTTTCATGCTTTTTGTTAACAGTTAAAAGTTGCGGGAAAAATAAATCTACAACTATTACAAATGGCGCGGGTCCACATCGCCAAAATTAAACCGGACCCGATTTAACGGAAAGTAAATAAAGCAAAATAAAGTGCAAAAAGTAAGTGTTACAACGCTTTGGGAGAGATACATGATTATTAAAATGACATAAAAGAAATATGCGAAATTAAACAATTAAAAATATGGGCGTTGGACCCTTTTTTTGCAAAATTAAAATTAATAAGGAATTAAAATTAAGAATTAAAAGAAAATGTTTTTTTGGTATTTTTGTGTTTTTAAGATTTAATGGAAAAAAGAGAATTAATTAATAATTAAAATAAAATGTCAAACCCTAATTCTAATTATTTTTAGTTATTATGAAAATGTTAAATTAACCTAAATTAAACCCTAAATTCTTTTATATACAATTTAATCATGAAAATAAATAAATAATAATATTATGACAAAAAGGAAAAATTAAAAGGAATGAAAATTGTCAATTAACCTAATTCTACCTTTTTTATATTTATTATGAAAAGAATTAAAATTGCAAAAATCCTAATTAAAACTAAATCCATTACATGTTAATTTATTTACAAGAAAATATCAAAATAAATAATCATTATATTTTTTTTATCTTTTTCTGAGTTTTTAAGGTATTTTTTGTATTTGGTAAATAATTAATTGAATTAAAACAAATAAAGAAAACAAAATCATAATTGAAAATAAAACAAATAATAGAAAAAAATATAGAGAAGCAAACCAGGGGGGTTCAGGCCCCAATTGTGAGGTGTTGGCCTTAGAATTCTGGCCCAATTAAACATGGCCTTCTTTGACTTTTTGCTAGCATGCTTCAGTATTGACTGGAGTTTAGGGTGTACTTCCAATCTGTGCCCTTGGTTTGATCTCCAGGGGGACGTGTCACGCTTGATGGTGAGGGACTATGGTGGTTGTCCACATAAGCGCTACATAGGAGTTGGAATTGAAAAATAGCATGAAATATTATACAGACCTGGGAATCGAACCCAGGTCTTGCACCTCACCAGCCAACACCTGGACCACTACGCCATTTGGTGCGTTGTTAATATATAATAACAATTAAACAATATAAAAGAAAAGCAAAGTTAGTGGGAGTCAACGCGCCAATTTTTAAACCAACGAATCACTGGTTGACACGATGTCGTCTTCTTCACGTTCCCTGTAACATAAACATTCAGCAACGGTTTTAGACGCGTTGCTTTAGGCAGGCTATTGGAAAATAGCGAATAGGGCTATGATGGCCATAAATTCATCGCGAATAGTGCTTCATGTTCGTCCAGTCTTGCTGAGTACAACCATCATAGTCTTGAGGGTTAATTTTACTTGGTCTTAAAAGCCCTAATTTGTCATCCAGAAAACCCTAGAAATCAAGTATGGTATAATCTCATATATAGCACAAAAACGCAATTGGACCACATGGTTAGTTTCAAAACTTGACAAGGAACATGAATGTACAATTAAAATGCAGTGAGGATGCCTAAAAATCAAAAGACGATCATGGATTTTTCTTGGTACAGTTGGAATCCGTTTTACCAATTCTTTGTGTTTGAGTTGATGCTAGGGATTGGAATCGCTTCTGGGAACCTTGAGGAAGCTATTGGAAAAGGAATTAGGCCTTGAATCGTCCTCTAGTAATGATTTCAGAATTGCCTTTTTTTGATAATTTTTCAAGTTTGTACTGTATTCTTGAGCGCAGCATTCAGTGTGTGGGCATCAGGTTTTGACTCAGCACTTATGAGGGAAGGGAATTAGGTCATTAGCTGGCCTTGATCCATGCCCATGAGAGAACTAGTCTTAGGTTTTTCACCATTAACAAATTTTCCCTTTTTTAAGCAAAACCAAGACTTGGTGTACAACCTAACCCTAGCATGAGTTTGTGAGCTGGCACATGATATATGGAAGCTATCCAAATTCAAATGACACTATTCCATTGATTTTTAAATTTTATTTGAATTATTAAAGATTTAAAATGAATTAAATTAATAAAAATTAAATAAAATAGAAAAATCAATGTTTGATCTTGAAATTAATCATGGGACACGTGTGTGGCATGACAAGGCTGAATCAAGTGGAAGAAAGTGGGCCCTTTTGTCAAAAATTGAAGTTTTAAGGATAGTTGACTTTTGCCATTTCACAAAAATTTCCCAACTTCTACAAGGCATAACTTGCTCAATTTTTAAGCTTTTCTCATGTTCTTGGACATTTTGGAAAGGTCTTTGAGTCCTTTAACCAATGCCTTTGGTCCCATGTCATTTTGATTTTCCAATCTCAAGTTATGGCCTTTGACTTAAAGTCCCTTTTTGTTGACTTTTGAAAATGACCTATAATGTTGAAATTGATAACTTTTTGTGAGAGCATTTCTTGGACTTGAAGTATGAAGATGAGTTGTAGTAAATGTCTTTCTATTCAAAATGAGCTTTGGATGGCATTTTTCTGATAATCCATGTGAAAGTTATGCCCTGGTCAATTTCAGTTGACTTTTTCAGCTGTCCAAATAAGGAAACTTTTGCATCTTGATGATTTTCTGAGCCAAATTTTGAGAATCATGATCAAGCATTGATCAAATGGTGTTTGTGGCTTCAAAATGATATGTTGACCAAAAATTTGAACTTTTGACTGTCAAATGACCATTTTGCCCCTACAGTTGACTGTAGTGCAATTTAGGGTTTTGACTGTGCAATTTTGAGCTGAATGCCTTGAAACTTGATATGAGGATGCTTGACCATGTTTGTAAGCATATGAGACTTGATTGAGCCTTTGAACACTTCCTTTTCTTGATCAGACTCAAAACCCTAATTTTGACTATTTAGGAGGCCCTTGCACTGTGCAACCCTTGGGGAATTTTGTGACTTGGCTTGGCAATTTCTTGAAGAATATGGGAGGGCAAATTTTGGGGTACAACAGCTGCAATATCAAAGAGAGTGAGTGTCACCATTCCACAAGGTAAATGGAAGGTGTAGTGTGTGTTGTTCCAGAAATACAAAGAGGACACTAGCATAAGAGGACAATAAGCCAACCCAGACTTCGACAGCATGACTAGGTCATAAATTCCCATATCTTCCCAGATTTAGGATTGGGCCGCTTCCATCTTAACCAGCCACTCTGAGTATTCTGAGGTCAAGCTAGGGCAAGACTTGAAGATTCCATTCCCTTTGTTCATGAATTGAAAGTTTATATTCTCCTTCGTCTGGGAATGTTGTTGGTTGGCAAGTGTTGCATCTTCAGGTTCATTTCTAGGCTTTTTTGCGCAACCTATGGGTTTGAGTCTAGGGTGAGTTGGGAAAAGTTGTTGTTTTGTTTAGGGTTTTCAAAACACACAGACAACGGATCAGACATAGCATACATTTGTCCAGAATACCTGACATGAATGAGTACCTGTAAGTTCTATGCATCGCTTTCTTCTTTGGTCATAGGTTCATGAACAAACCTTCGTTCCCCAGACGAAGCAGGGACGGAGTTGGTTGGGAAAACACCTAGTTTTTGTCATGAATCAGAAGCTTTTGTTGTCTTTGGGTTGTTTGGAGCATTTGAAAGGAAGGCCATGGCTTTGTTGGTAGAAAGATTGTGAAAGAGATGAAATTCTTGAGGTTGCATGCAAGGAGACAGAATATCAGACGTTTGGAAAAAATTCCAAAGGGAGATGTTTGTGGCTATTTATAGAAACCAGGGAAGAGTGTTTTCCCTGAAAGTCATTTAATATTGCAGAGTGAGTGGGACACGTGGTGATCTTTGAAGCAGTTGTACAGACAAGTGATGGGAACGCTTGCCATGCTTTCCTAGATTATAGGGGTAATGGTCATCATAGTGGCGTATAACGGCTGACTGATAGTGACGTATTGGAAAAAGTGTAATGATGGCTCTGATGTCAGCAGTGGTTGGTAGAAGACGAAAAGTTCACTGTGAACTTATGTGACCAAGAAATGGACAGATGTCGAATAGAAACATCAAAAAATAACTATTTCTTCTTGTGTCGAAATTGACATTCTTGGGGGCAATTTGTTAGCTCTTAAATTCGACACTCATATATATTGACCTTATTGGCTGAAAATAGATTGAAGAAATCTAAGCTGAAGACACTTCGACATAAGAGCCTATGAAAGGAGTTGTGTCAAAGTCATCCTTACTAAGAAGGAGAAAACACTTAGAGAATTTTCAAAGTTAAAGACAGTTTTCGACCGGAAAGCTCTTGTATCAGCAGCAAGTGGATTTGAATCTGAAGAAAGGAGGGAAAGACAATTCATTTAAAAGTTGGAAAAAGCGATGAGGCGTGAAGATAGGGGTCGAAGAGCATGCAGAGGACACTTGTCTTTATCCTGAAACGGAGCAATCGTTCGATAGTTACTTATTACTAGTATAAATATAGGAATTTTGTGTAAAATTTCGTGTGTTCAACTTATGATACAAGTCACTCAATTTTATTCAAGTATTCGTTGTGAGAGAATTGAGAATATACGTTTGAATCACCATACTTTGTTGCAATCAAAGTCTTTACATTTCTTTACAATCCTTGCCATTTAACATTTTTCTGCAAACTTTACCATTACAGCCTTTTAAATTACTGCAAATTTACTTTATCTTACACTTTACTTGCATTTTTATCAAGTTTTTACATTCATCCTGCCTTTACTCTTAGTCTCCTATCGAACTTGTTCATGAACAGCGTTAAGACTTCTCATCAAACCCTCAAAACACTTAGCATATGTCCTAGGATCAAATTGATCGATCCTGCAAATAACCAAAATAACCTTTTTGAAAAATCAGCAATTATTTACCAATTTTCACGATAAACAACATCTGAAACTACATTTCTGAAATCTGAAAGTATTTTTAAAATTTCACGATATACGCTAAAAATACATAAAGCATTAAGAAATTCTCCACACCTTCCTCTATCTCAACCATACAACTTGAATTTGATAGCTTGTGTCTCCTTCTATTTCTCATCTGTTTTGTACTATGAATCTAAAATAATATGACAATGTTAATGGAAAAATATTTAATATACTTTTATTTAATATTCTTAGAAAGACATAACTGAGAACTGGATCTACACTTGTTACAAGATTAAAGAAAGACATAACCTCCACTTTCGTATTCTCAAGATGTGTTTAATCCCGAAAATGTTAAATGCTATTCCAGAGAACATTTTTTATTCCCGTTTAAGTTCCTAAATATTTATAAAATATATTTAATTTAAATTTTAAAATAAAAAATATATATATTTATATCCTATAACATGAGAATAGAAAGTAACAAAACCATGTATAAAATAAGTTCTTAGAAATAAAAAAATTCAAGGCATTTTTTCTTAAAATTTGAAACAAATATTGAAATGAAAAATATTCCAGCCTATATTTCTGAAAACAAATTTACAATAACATCCCCTCGTAGTTTTATTTTCATGGGAAAATGCGGGATTGTTCATTCCCATAAAATTTTATGTAACTTCTTTGAAAAAGAATAACTGGCAACTTTTTTATAAACATCAAATTACGTGTCAAACATTTTTTGAAAAAATATCAATATTATATTTTTTATATTTATATTTTAGGATAACTTATTGCTAAATATATCATTTATGAATTCTTGAACAAATGCCTCCCATAAAAAATTGACAAATCAATGTTTTTAAAAAATGAGGTAATATTGAATATATGACAATTTTAATGAAATCATATACTAAAAAAAGTATGACATTACCTCTGAATCTTTGAACTTTTTCTCAATGAAAGAACAATAACTTCTTAACAAGTCCCTAAGATCCGAAACCACAGGGAGTAACCCATATCTGGTTCATGCTCACTCCAATCTGCACTTGAAACACTGATGTATAGGATTCTATTTCGATACTCAACTTTAACAACAACAACAAATGTAATAGTTTCAAACAAAAACACTTTTTTCCTGTCTAGAAGTATACTTCCAGAATCATGAGAATTAAAACATTGCCTCTATTTTACTTAGAATGAAGAATATATTTTAAAATTAAAAAAAATGATACTATACTAATGTAAGTTGCCACAAATCGGAACTGAAGTTAGAACTTAACCTTTGGTATAAGACATTACAGAATACAAGGAAGCTCTCTATAAAAATATGTCAACTAAACAGCAGGTATTCAATGAAGTTCAATAGACATGATTACCATCTATCCATAACCATGTCATCGCCAAACTCCCCATCTTCAAGCTGCTCGCCTTCTCTGTGAGAATCCCGGTGGTCTCTCCTGTGTCGCTTATGCCGTCCTTCATCAGAGTCATGACCGGAACTATGCTGCTCCATTCATCCCAATACAAAAAATATGACCACAATCAAACAGTGAAACAATAAATGAAATCTTTACACAAACAAAAAAAGAAATGACAAATTTGCCTACCCGTCTGGATTTCTTGCGGTCGCTGCTGTGACCATGAGATTTCTTAGTCCTCTCTTTATCAGTTTCGTGAGAAACATAGTCCGGACTTTGATGCTGCTTCCTTTTGTTTTCTTTAGATGATTGGATATCATTTAAGTCCATACTGTCACTGTCTGTTCTATCTCTCTTATGTGTCTCCTCTTTCCATCTTTCGCGCCCTCCCTCTTTTTCCCTTCTCTGCTTTGCTTTCCTTCTTTCTCTTTCCTCCCTATCTTTATCCTTCTTTGCCTGAACAAGATTTTATTTTCAGAACTTATTAGCTTCCAAGTGACAGCTTTTACTTTACCACAGATGATACGCTTCATATAATGGATGAGAAGCATAAAACTCAATTTTCAAATATGGATTAAAATGAGCAGAACCCATACCCTTTCCTCTTTTCGTTTCCGCTCATTCTCTTTTGCCTCTTCTTTCAGTTGCGTAACGTACTCCTCAAACATTTTCTTGCAGAGGCTCACATCTCCAACAGATCTAGAAAAAAGCATATACAGCCGGTAAAAAGCAAAATCAGGAAATATAAACTTACTACTGAAAATATAGGCTTATTTGTCAAACAGCCAGCCAACCACAAAAAAAAAAGTCATGGCAGTACAGAATATTGCAGAGTAACTGTTATACCAAAGATGATTGATACCGTAACAATAATTAATTAATTAATAATACACAACAAATCTTGAGCCTAGAAAAGTACTCAAACATTCATCTTTAGCACTAAACATTTACATTTCATGCTTTAAGTTATCATAATTCAGACCTGAACTCTTGGCTATCTTCAACAAGTGGCCTAAAGTCCTCCCACTTTGAAGACTCACAAATATCCTGCAACATTTAAGCAAGAGAATAAAAATATTCAGTCTCCGATCATTTCAACGTGACACTTATGTTAATGACAGCAATACTCCACCTTGGTAGAATATAGTAAATGAAAGAAATCATCTGCAAGACGTTTACGCTTCTTAGCTTCCTTCTCCTCCTTCTCCCTAGCCCGTTCTAGTAGCTCTTCAAACACTAACTGCAGGATAGCACAGAATCAGACAAGACATGGAGAAGACATATTTTCCAAATCAAGAATAATTAAAACTAAACACAAGAAATAAAACCTTCTTAAGAGATGGGATATCATTAAGCTCCTCACCATAATGAATAAAGTTTAAAGAAAATTGAGGACAATTTGGTAGGAAGTCCTTGCAAAAGAGTTATTAAAATTGGTATTTTTATATGTATACCACAAGGGGGTTAAAAATAAAAGGACAGAATTGAATGATATGATAAATAATAATATTAAAACAAAAACTTGTCAAGAGTAAAATAAATGATTAGGTTGCCAACTTACTTGATTATCAAAGAGCTTTTCGATAATTATTTATGCTTATATAATTGAGCTCATGATAATGACTTAAAAATATTATTTCATGTTTTATGCTTTAAAACTAGTTTTTGGATTAATAAATATAAATATAAGGAAAAACCACAGGTTCAAGCAGAACTGTGAGGAAAACAAGAAATATAAGAAAAACTTGAGACGCCACTCATTGTACAGCACAAATTGGCAATTGGTAAAAAGATGTAAAAAAATTCAATTGGTTGTGGGTATATGTCACTAGTGTGCTTACCTTTAAGTTGGAATCAGATAGAGGCAGAGAGTTAATGTGTTCTGATAAAGCTGATTTGAAGTCTTCAAAAGTCAAGGTTGTTAACAACGTGATCTGAGAAGTAAGACAACATTGTATGTCAGAAAAGGATTATTAAAAAGAAAACCACAAAGAATCAACCCATCATACCTTTGCCAACTTCACTGCATCTTTTATTTGACTCTTTTCTTCTTGATACTGTAATTTTAAATAAGAAGGAAGAATGGATTTTTATGAGAACATTTATTTTCAATTACAAAGTTTATCAGGATGCATAAATGTAGAAGTTGTCCAGCTCATGAGCCGAGGAATAATGTTATCGCAACATAGTAAGATATGTATAATGAAATTTATCATTAGTACCCAAATTGATTTTTTTTTATTGCTGTGAGATAGCTTATATTTATTTAGACTGCTATAAATCCTTGTGGGTGTGCTTATAGCTAAAGTCATTCAATGCCTCGTTATTTATCGAAAGAGAAAATAAAATTGAAAGTATCAACATATAATGATTCTTTATTTTTCCTTTGCAGTAAATTGAAATTTAAGTTATTCCCAACAGCACCTAAAAGAACAAAATATGTTTTGAAAAATACTTGGATGGTTCAACACCAACCATAAATACACTTGAGCATACTCACTTGTTTCTCTAGCTCTTCGGCAAGATCTTCAAACAACTCTTTTGGAGTTGAACCTGAGGTGTTTGAAGCTACTGCTAGATAGGCTGGTAATTCTTTCGCCTACAAGACCACCATAAACAACATCATCATTGCTGTCACGATAAAATAGTTAATCCAAGTGTCCAAGACAACAAATCAAAAAATTAAACTTTGCACCTTAACACAGAATTCAGAAAACATAAACAAAAAAATAAATTACCATAGCAATGGACAACTAACCTGTGAATGATAATCACGCCAGTGAGTTTTTGCTGTAAGAATGCCTGAGGCAATGTGTTCATCCATCAATTTGCGGAACTCGTCACGGTTTTTACGTTCCGTCTTTCTCAATTCTTCCTATTGTTGGAGAACATAGATGAGATTAGCGATAAAATAAAGGAGGGGAGTAGTCATACAACCACTTGTTGAGCATAAACATAAAAGCACCTTCTGTATCTTTTTCTGCTCTTCCTCTTCCTTCTCTAAATCACGCAAATAATCCTGAAAGGTGAAACATAAATTAGATTTGTGGGAAAGTATCACCAATTAGGGAGAATATCATCTAATTTGCTGTTACATAATTAGTTTCCATTGTTACCTTGTACGTGTGTGTGCATGTGTCAGTGTGTGTTAATACAATTGATTGATTGTGTTGAGGGTTCTGTAATTTATTGCCCATTTCAAGGAGATTAACAGAAAACATCATCAGTATTACAGAAGTTGAATCACAATAATAATATACTTAAATTATGAAGAGGGTAAAAAGAAAGTTACTTGAAATATTTCCAAACGATCAATTTTTTCAAGTCGAGAACATCTTTCGTCGGCCTCTAAGCGGTCTTGAACTTTTCGCCACTGCGTATTAGCCTATGGAGAAGGTGATGAATGCATCAATAGAAATTTTAGCATCATATAAACCTTTACAAACATAACGAATAAAATATGTACCTTTATAAAGTCACAAGATTCCAAATATTTCCTGTATTCCACTGTATTTCGCTTCCGTTCCTAATGAAAATTCCACAGGATGATATTCACTAACAGCATTTCAAAATACTAGCAATTTTAATGCATTGAACACAACCTTAAAAAACGTCTCTCATGGTCCCCTATCCATTAAAAAGTAAAATATGCTCAGAACCAGGAAAAAAAGGTAAAGAATGACAATGTTTCTATAGACTACATCTAGATTGAGATCCCCTTGATTTACAAATAATCATAACAGACTTCGCCTAAAGGTCCATAACATAACTTCGCTACAGTTTAATTAAATAATGCCAAATCCATAATGTATCTTTGAATAAAATTTAGTGTGGCTTTGAAACCACTGTAACCAATACAAGTGTGATAAATGGAGGAAAGGTTAATGGGGTGCATTCGACTACATCTAGCATGGCAATGACAAATATGTGCATAGCAAGTAGTCAAACAACCAGAAATATGTATGTAAGCTTTTTAAAAATGGTTGAACAACATAATGTACCTTGTTTGAAAGTTCCTCCAAGAAGCTATCAAACATATCCTTGCGATCTCTTTCTCGCTCAACGGCTTTGAAACGTTCATCATTTTCAAAAATAACTGCTGCTTTGCTGCATTGATTTCCCAAAATATATCAATAGCAAGATCCAAAATATATTGTTTGAAATATTTGGCCAATCTAAGTCAAGGAAAAAAAAATCAAATTCAAATATCATGAAATAAAAAAGAAACCTGAATCTAGTGGATGAAGTCAACTCCGTGGACTCCTGAAAAATAATTGCATAGATTAGCAACAAAAATATGCACAAACAAAGAAAGTGTCATATTGCATGGTTGTAAAGATATCACGAAGCAGATAAACCTACTTCCAACATTTTTCTAAAATCCTCCTTTGCTTTTTTGTGCCTCATACGCTTTTCTTCTCCTTCCTGTTTTTTCCTTTGAGTTAAGTACTGAAAATACAAAATTACGGTGTTATCATGTCATAAATATTTAATTAATGACGCAGCACATTAGCCAATATAGATTAGCTATAGCAACTTCGCAAGATCACCAATTTACAATAAACAGTAATGTAGGGATCAATTTTGTAGGAAAGGAGTACGAAGTAGATAACAAAGAATGTTGTCCCCAGCAACCTACCCTCTCCTTAATATAATGTACCAAATGTATTACTATATTCTAATAATAATCATTAGATCAAATATCAATTTTAATAAAATATCCGTTTAAAAAAGTCAGGGCAAATGAAAAATTAGAGTTGTCAGAAGAGATATTGATAAAGTGGAGGATATCATTAAAATGTTAGCAAAGAGGTTGGAAAACTCGGGAAACGAGAGGAAAGATGGACTTATAAGTTCTAACCCTATTTGATTATAACAGTCACAACAGCCATAATCACTTGTGCGAGAGGGATGAAGCAACCGGCACCCTGTAGTAGCCTCAGTAGGCCACATTATCTGGTGCTATAGCACCACTATAGTGCACAATTGTCTACTCTGGACATGACTAGGGCCACATAATAAATAATCGGTTATTAACACATAGCTCAGACAAACTCAACAGAGAACTTACATGGTTTACTAGAAGCAATTATCTTCATATATATTCCATCCTTAATAACAATATACTTGATCAATAAATACAAAACAAGATTGATACTGAATAAGAATTTGCTCGTGGCAGATGATATATCTGAGCTGCTACAGTAAAGTGCACACAAGCGGAAAAAAATAAATAAAGCCAAGAATAATGGCTGTAAGAGAGTTCTCCATGGTTACATAAGAATTACCTCATTGAAAGCTTGCTTCCTTTCTCCCAGAGATTTTAAGGCACCATATCTTTTGTCATTAATTATTAATCGCATGGCCTGAACGTCAATGTCAAGCAAAATCAAATAAAGAGAAATATTCAAAAAGTAAGAAATGCTTTAAATAAGTCAAATAAAATATTTCAATGTATTGAGATCAATATACCCGATCCCAATTCCAGTCAGATCCAACATTTACAGAATCCAAGAGTGCTTTGAATGCATCTTTAGCTTCCTGAAAAGAAAATATAGCATATGTTCAATGCCCAAGAAAAATTGTGTGAGAGAGAGTTGATATATTGATATTTCGTTCGTATACCATCTTATTCGCATAAACTAAGGATTCTGGCTCAACTGCCTTTGTTTCTGAGGCCACGTCATTAACGTTTTCCCCTATTGAATCAATTTTTCCAACCTACAAAAATAAAGATTGAATCATCTTGCTAACAACTAGAAGCAAAACTTTCCAAGAGACATTAACACTACGATGAGGGAAGCATACTTCTTTATCTTCTCCAGGAACCCCATCAGCAGAAGAAACTACAGTATCTTGAGCTGAAAAGTTATTGGCGTCATTCCTACAACATTTTTACCAGAAACAAATAAAATAATGTGCCACCAGACAAAAATGAAATCAAAGAATGAACATGAAACTAGCAGAATAGGGAATACTTTGGTGTTGCAGCAATATTAGTATCAGAAACAACTGCTCTATCACTTCCCACACTAACATCTGGTGGATTGATAGTATTTATGGGTGCCTCAGGTTCATCAACTTTTGTTCCAGTTGTAGCGGCTGCAGAAGGAGAGGCATGTGATCCGGAAGTTATCTCGGATTGCAGATTAATAGGGGACGTGGTGACAACTGGAGCAACTGAAACAGGACTTGATGGGTCGTTTTGGCCAGGTAAAGATGAAATATCCGTACTAGGCATTGCTTCAGTCACAGAAACTGCAGAGGGTTGAGTACAGGGATTCAGTAGTGGCTCGGGAAGAGTTGCATTGACCTTTTCCTTTTCAGCTTGCTCACGGGCAAACTTAAAGCAAACACAAATACAGAAAAGAAATGTGAGTACAGAAACATGTGGCATAAAATAACTCAGAATATTTAAAACGGTGCTGTTTTCAATGATGGAAACCTTCAGTTCCTCGGGAATTAACCACTTTGATTCCTTCGTGATCTTGTTGTAGTAATACCTACAGAATTTTATGAAATTTAGAGTGAAATCAGCAACAAGCATTTAAAACGGAAGAAAAAGGCAAATTAACATAACCAATACATACTTTCTTCCATCAGGACTCGTATACTCCTTCCAGTTTGTTGATGCATCTACCCTCTAACAAAGTGAAAAGAATTGAACAAGTTATCATAAGGAGATTTCCTTCCAAAAGAAATAATACGATAGAAACAACAGCAAATCGAGGAAATAATTGAGGGAGGTAACAGGATCAATTACTAACAAGCCAACTAATATCTTGCACTTAGAAAACTACCCTACTTGTTTGTTTATTAACATTTAAGAATTTTCACTCAATTCCCAGATGATTGAGTTCTGGCCATTAGCAAATAAGAGTTAAATGAATATTTACACAATGGTTATCTGAAGATGCAGAAATTTAGAGGCCCCGCATAATAACGATATGAATATTTCCACATTTCATATCGTTATTTCTCCTTCTTGCCAAATCTTAACAGAAAATCCAAGTGAAGCAAACTATTTCACCAGCAACCTTGACAGTCCTTGTTACATGCAATCCTCCCAATCGATCATACTGTGTATATACAGGAATACTAAATGATTCATAGGGTGGATATGAAATCCTGAATCTTCATATTGTAACTACAATGTACATTTATACTAAAAGTTCACAAATGAATGCAATGCAACTGCAAATTTTCTTTTCAAACATCATTTACAGTAACGTTTTTAAGATCCTAAAATCAAACAGCAGTAAACCACATATAGAATAAATAGATAGCAACGCAACTTATTACTTCCATAGGAGAAAACCCAAGTTCTAAGGCACGGGTAGTACCTACAAAAATCAACACCGGTTTTCTTATCTAACGCTTATTCTACAAGTAGGAAGATTGGAAACATTCTTTTGGATGAAAATTTTGCCTAGTTCAACTCTAATACAAATAACGATATTGGAAACCGATATTCTGAAATAAAAACAAAAAACTGTCTAAACATTTAGAAGCATCAAGTATGTGTAATGTACATTTTATTCAATAAAAAAGACATGTTATAACACTCACTGTTAGATCATTACAAAATTCCAAAGTGATTAAAAATCTAGACAGTGATGCAATGATAGAATTTACAAACTTTATACTAAAATAGCAGGTACAGCAAGCAGCAAAGATCCAAAGCATATCCTACCTCTCATTAGTATAGCACAGCATGAACCTGTAAGCATCTTAAAGCTATGGGAGTCACACATGTATAGATTTGAATAAAGTAAAAGACATAAACAGCCACCAACTTTGACGTGCTTGGAGTGATACAAATATTAGTATTACTATTACTAATAAAAGACAATCACCATATGCTCAAAAAATGAGAGAATAAGAGATCTATCATTACAATTCTCTTATTTAAACATTCAGTGTATAGTATCAACATAATTTATGCATTGTCTATTCATGACTAGAAGCAAATAGAAGACAGTGATTATCTACAGTCAAAATCACATTAAGGAAAAATAAAAATATGTGCGCAAACATGAAGTGGAACCAGAGAAAAAGCACTTAATTTCAGAAGCAAACTTTAACAAATATCCATAACGATCTATGAATCATGAAAAAGCAACCATAAGTTAGAAGTCGGGACACAAAGAAAGAAGTAAGAAACCCTAAGGAATAGGAGTGATTATTGTGTATTAAACAATGGAAACTAAAAATAGTCTTCGGACAAAATCAACTGTTTTCAGTCATTTTTTCTGATTTTAATGAGAATAAGTTTTACTCTATAACTTAAATTTTAAAAGAATGTAATAAAAAACTATTCTAAACTACAGCATCATCCAAGGAAAACAAAGCTGATATCAGACAGTCCAACCGGCAATTGTCACAAAACTGACCTTACAATAAGACGTAAAAGTCAAGATTGATGGTTGCCTGCCTGAGAGAAAACCCATTCAGTGAAGAGTGAGCTAATGTACCGGATTATTTTCACCACACATGGACAAATAGAAAGTAAATAACAATTAAACTTAAATATGTTGTTGACCCAGCAAATACTGTACTTGCTGAATAAAAGAGATGCAAATGTCCCAACTTCCACCAGAAACCCAAAAAAGTAAAAGATCCAAAGGCATGACCAACGAACCATACAACAAAATAAAGTAAAATTAATGGTATGACTCACCTCAATAGGTGACATCAATTCTAAAGGCTTCTCCCAGCTAGATAATTTAGTCCTCTTATTGTAGAAAAATCTGTAAAATAAAGAGAAATTTTACATCAACTCAAAAGTCTGTAACCTAGGATCACAAGCAGACAACTCAATCAATTACCTTCTTCCAGTAGAGGACGTATGCTCGATCCAATCAGAGGAGCCAACCTTGTTAAGGTGTGGCTGGACATTTGTAGCCTGAAAGAAATAAATTAAGACTGCATAAAATTCCCGCTGAGGTAATACACAGAATTTGTATGAAATCGAAAATAAGTAAGACTCATACAGAAGGCATGATAGTTGTAGCTGTAGGTTGCTCGCCGTTGCTCTGAGGAGTTGTACCAGGAGTAATGCTCTGGGACAAAGAACTAGCGGGAGCTTGGATTTGGGGAACAGGTTGGTATTGGCCGGTAGAATTAAAATTAGTTTGTGGCGCTTGACCATAAGAGGATGGCGCAAACTGCATAAATGAAAACCTTGAATCAGCACTTGTTTGATGGAGTCTTAAATTATCCACTATAAATACAAGCCAGAAAATTACCATAAACGATGAAGAAAGTGGCATTCCGGGGCCACCTAAACCTGGTGTATATCCATTTGGAGCTTGAGAATCAGGCTGTGGCATCATTGAATCAGACGAGGATTGCATGTTAGGCCGGGCAATTGGCATTTGCATCATTTGTGGTTGAACTGGTAACTGCTGACCAACTCTCGGAGGAAACTGCTGAATTGTTTGAGAAAATTGCGGCTGTTGATTTTGAGGCGGCATTCCAACATTATACTGTTGGTGGTAATGTTGAGGAGGCATGGGAACAAACTGTTGTGGCTGTTGATTTGGAACACCGGGGTGGAACTGCAGAAACAAATCATTTTATTCAGATATATTATAGTTTGACCTAAAGCCGATACCATCACAGTTAGTAATAAAAATATAAAAGCATTACTTGAACAGGCATGAGTTGACCGAAATTGCGCTGAGGATCCATTGAACCGGACATTGGAGGCCGCAGTGGCTAGCACAACAAACAGAAAAAGAAAATTAACATAATAAACATATAAACCAGCAAAATTTTCTACTTCTAGGCACTCTACCTGTAAGCCTGGATATTGTTGATTATTATTCGACATCCGAGCACAGAAGTCTCCAATTCCAAATCCTAACGATATTGCAGTCTACAAGAGTAAAAATCCATTCATATCTTAGTAGCCCTAATACTATTATAGTATAACATTAAAACTATGTAGCACCGACAACTCTGAAAAAGATAGATTTTATCTGTGTCAGGGACGGATACCTGCACTGACAACTACGTTCAATTTATTATTTTATTTAAAATTATTATCGGTGTCAATGTTGGGGTCTTGTTCATGTGTTTCATAGCATTAAATTTACATATAAAATAGTGAAATGGTAACTAGTAATAAACCAGTACACACTAAAAGAAGTGACATTCAAGTAAACAAAATTAAAAGTTAGGTCAAAGAAATTGAGACAATAATCAAGATAAAACTAAAAATCAAATTCATTTTACTAGGAAATAAAATTGTTTGTTAAGAAAATAGCAGAACTAGAAAATATAACCAATGTGGCACAAAATCAAAATGAAACACAAGTTCAATCAATAGGGCAGCATCAAAATTGAATCTTTTTGCAACCCCAGATAAAGAAAATTAGGTTGCAAGCAAAAAGAATGAATGCGGTTTACAATTTGAATAATAAAGAACAACATGTGAGATATAGGTATAGAAATAGGGATACATACCAATGGAGATGAAAAGGGGGTTTGTGGAGAAGAAAGGAGGTTAATTCCGCAGGGTTTTGGTGGAGAGTTGAAATTGAAACTGAAAGAGGGATTTTAGTTTTTTTTTACAGTGATCGAGATTGAGAAGGAGACAGACAGGAGTAGAATGATTGACAGCTTGGTAAATGTCCCCTTGGATTCTCAAGAAAAATAAAAATACGTTTTTTTATGTAGTGATTTTATTTTTATTTTTCTTTTGGGCTTTTATATAACTTTAGACTTTTAGGAGGAATTTACCTTCACCCCCATCTTTTATATATATATATATATATATATATATATATATAATATATATAATATATATATATATATATATATATATATATATATATATATATATATATATATATATATATATATATATATATATATATATATATATATATATATATATATATATATATATATATATATATATATATATATATATATATATGACAACCCTCAAAAAGTATGAAAACACTAAATTATCCGGACTCAAATATTTTTTTTCAGAAATTTTAAACTTTCGTGATCAACCGAATTTTTTCAATCGCTATGGCGATATCGAAAATTTAGTGATACAGTAAGAAATTTTTGATATTTTTGCGAAATATCCGGTATTTTGTACCAGATTTTTCAAAAATCTGATATTTTTCGTACCGAAAATTTTGAAATTTCCGGTATAAAACAATTTTCCTCGGTACCGGAAATTTTGAAATTTTCGGTAGTTCAATTTTTTTTTGAAAAAAATTATTGCGGGCAGGCAGACTAATAGAGCGGAAGCTCAGGCCAGGACTGATGAGGGACAGGCTTCTAAGCTACGGGTTGGCCGACGTCCTCCGACTGGGTCTCACCGAAAACGGTTGGCGAGCAGTAGGCTCAGTTCTGCGCACCCTGTCTTTGGGGATCAAGAGTTTCCACTGTTGATGAGCCGGCTGCGGAGAATATTATGGAGCCAGTTGCTGCAAAGGTACATGCTTTTGTTCTTGTTGTTGAATCGGCAGCTGCAGAGGTTATTGGGGAGGTACATGTGCTTGTTGTGGATCTGGAAGTTGAGCGGGTTGTGGAGCAGAAGGTTGTGGATGAGCGCGTAAACGGGGCTCCCCCACTGATACGGACACCACGACCCGTGCGTTTAAGGAGCCATCATTTCATATAAAATGAAGTATTTTCTGGAAGACCTTCAGACAGGTCCGTGCTGATAGGATTTGTTGACCATGTCGCCTACAAGATATGGCTTGGCAAGGTATATATTTGGTTTTCTTTAATTGCATAATTTTCATTTTTGCTTACAAGATTTGATGTATAATGTTTTGTTTTGGCTTCTTACAGGAGCGTCTGGTGCTGAAGGTCGCTTCTCATGGTTCAAAGTTGAAGAACTTTCTCGAGAGTTCGATATCTAATGAGGTCAGGAGTATTGTTAGAGATTTTTATCTCCTTGATTTCGTTGAGTGCTCCTTGACCATGTTGGACGCCTCCCTATTATCTGCTTTTGTTGAGAGGTGGCACCCGAAGACATCATTTTTTCATCTTCCATTTGGGGAGATGAATGTCACATTAGATGATGTCGACCCAGTTGTTATTAACCATCTGACGGCAGTGCGGATGGTTGTGGATGACTTAGAGGTGTATGAGGCGCACGTGCTAAAGGAGTTTGGTGAGACTCGAGGATATCACCTTCGGATGTCTTGGCTGAGAAAGTTGTATAGGGAGCTTGTGGAGGCATGTAGGTACCAGACTGCCGCTAGGGCGTACATGTTATATCTTATGGCATGTACTCTCTTTACGGACAAGTCTGGTGTTTACATTGTTGTTTGGTACTTGTCTATGTTCAGCATGCTTGACACTCTGTGTTGGGCTTGTGGAGTGGCGGTCTTGACCATGTTATACACGACACTTGGCGTTGCTTCTCATGCTAGGACCAAGCAGCTTGTTAGTTACCTTAGCCTGTTACAGGTACACTAGATTTTATTTGATGGTTTTTATTAGTTATTTGGGTGTATTTATTTGATGGTTTTATTTATACAGTGTTGGATATATGAGCACTTCCCTCACATATGTGAGCGGAAGATCCAGCATGTATCGGCTACCCTTCCATGTGCAACGAGATGGAAGGGCAAGCAAGCCCATTCTGAAGGTTTGATGGAGAATAGGAGGAGGCTGGATGCATTGACATTAAAGGATGTCATCTGGACACCTTATATATCTCATCACCCTTATCTCCCATTTGCAATATTTACTTTGTATTCATGGTATATCAGATGGGAGACCCATGTGGCTAGACACTTGCCTAAGAGTGTTTGTGCCAGTATGGTTATATGCAGGGTATCCCTCGTCCAGTTCCATTAACTCATGCGGGTGGCATTGATAGATGGTTTCATAGTCACGTCTTCAGCTCCCCCGTGAGATCATGGATACAACCGTTGAGTTTCAGCATCCAGGGCAATGCGAGGATAGATACATAGAGTGGTTTCACAGTGTGTCACACCCTCAGGTCAATACCATCGGTTGCAGCATCTGATATTCCTGGACCTTCAGGTACCAGAGATTCTACCGAGCCACCACCACTTCCACCTCCCACATGTGATCAGGACAAATGTCTACAGTTCATCGTTGTTCATTTAGATTGCCTTATAGGATTGGTAAACCCTGATGGTGAGGCTTATACTAATTTAGCTAGGTTGGCCGATGTAGCCCGTGGAGGCCTATGTAGATTTACTTTACTATGGTTATATCATATATATATATATATATATATATATATATATATATATATATATATATATATATATATATTATATATATATATATATATATATATATATATATATATATATATATATATATATATATATATATATATATATATATATATATATATTATGACACACATACATCTTATTTATTGCATAATCTTTTAGCGATTACATGTTTTGATTCGATGACGAACATAACATAACATAGTACAAACAAACATAAATAACAAACATAAATAGTATAACTAAACATGAAAAACTATGTACTACCAGATGACTCTAAATGTTTCAGCATCTTCATTATATCATCGACAAATCTTCGGATCTCCATATCCAACTCGATCGGACCTTTAGTTATCCTACGGCGAAATGATTTTCACATGGCCTTCACATCTGCATCATTCTTCAACTCGACTAGGTTGTATTTCACTCTTCCATTTGTATCAATCCAATCCTCCCAAAACTATACCTTTGTCACCCTTTTGTTATCAGAATCAGACAGTAAACCATTCAACATTTCTTTCAAGATGGCAACGGATTCAGAGCCATATGGAATCTTGAATTCAACAGCAGAGTTGCATTTGTTGTAATACACTTTTGCATTAATCAGATACTCAGGAAGAGACATTTTCTGAGATGTCTTACCCTATAACATGTGTTGTACCCCAAAATTATCCATCTCATATATCAAGTATTTTCTCATAAGATCTCCTTTGGTTCGAGACTGCACAAGGGTTGGTCAGCTCAAGACACCTCCTTAAACACTAATGACTGAAATTAAGGTTTGATATTTCCAAGGATAATTGAACTTTTAATGCCTCATATGACTTTCATGGATCATTATGGATCCTCAAGATTGCTCATGTCAAGTTTCAAGTCTTGGATCACATTTTTGCTCAGTCAATTGATCAGTTGACCTAAAAATCAGTTGTATTAGGGAAAAAGTCAAATGTGGCCAATTTACAGTCAAACTTCATAATTTTTTATCCATATCAACATTATGAACTCATACATGTCATTTGATCAAGTTTGGATCACAATTCCTTAAGAAATTTGATCAGATCATCAAAAGGGCAAAATGGTCAAAATTAGGGTTTTGACTAGGAAATGGCAATTTCTGGTTTTTGACCTAGAAAATGATCAATTGGGTTAATAAGGCATGATCTCAAGAGTCCAATTGCATCACTTTTACCTAATGACATGGTTCAAAACACTACAAGTCCATTGGATTGACAAATGAATTTTTCAATCAACTAATCAAAAGTCAATTGTACAATGAAAAGTCAAACTTTTACTTTTTGGTCAAAATCAAGTGTCAAAGATCACAATTCATCAAAACATGTCAAAATATGAAACTTGTTCATCAAGAAATCAAAAAGTCAATATTTCATTTTGAAAAGTCAAAATTTCCAAACTTAGAAATTTTTCTAAGTGTTGAAAACTTCATATTTTTTCATAACTTTGAGCCAATTTTTCACCATGATGCAAGATGATTCAAAGGAAACTTTCAACATGAAATTTGTAGATCTCAATGAGATATAAAATATTTATTTACACAACTTCTCCTAGAAATGCATGTATTTCAAGT